ATCATTGCTTCAATCTTGAGAGACAACCTTTTAAGTTGCACAATTTTAGTCTTCATTTTGGAGATTAATTATTTTGTGCGGACACCGAACGCCTTTCGAAGACCAATCAATGTGCCACATCATTCCTTCGCTAGATACTGCTGGCATGGCTGCGCTTGATTCGTCTGACCTCTACACAGAATAATTTATCCATTTTGGATGGCTTTCTTCCAGATTCTTTTAATAAATTTTAATATAAAAATTAAAAATTGTGTACTAAAAAATTACTTAAACTAGTAAAATAATCATTCCAAACAAAAACTTAATTTTTCTGAAAATATATTTTTTATAATGTTATTTTATCATAATTATTGTACAAAAATAGTTTCCAAGTATGTGTTTAGTTGCTGACGCATGTAGCGAGTAGAAGTGTACAAAGCATTAGGGATTCAAGCGAACTAAATGTTCAACGAGCTACACATTGCTCGGTTCGATTAAGAGCTTTGTTGATTTTAGCATATTGAGCTTTGTTGAGTCCACATGAATTCTATGCCTTTTGTTCCTGCAGCTGAAATAATAGTATAGAGGGGAAAATTCAGCTTCTAAATGAAAGCTGTTCTGGTAACCAAGCGCATAGAAAAATTATTACATGCGGCGTCCAGATTCGTCCAGAGACCAATAAAAATGTGTCACGTCGCCCCAAAAAATGTACCGCACTCGGTACCGAGAGCGTAACTGAACGGGAGATCTGTCCGGTGTCCGCATAGAATAATAACTCCTTGCTAAGGGCTAATAACCAGCTGTTAATATGCAGGTTATTTCAGAGAAAAAAAGAAAGGAAAAATCAGAAGAAATGCAGTACCAACTCGTCCGATTGATAAGTGTCTTCGAACGTTGATGACGAAATTTTAAATTTGATCCTCATGTACACCATAATAACTCTCATCCTGCTAACTTTAGAATTGATAATTAATGAATATAGTCGTTCAAAACTATACATTGTGCCATAAAAATAGCTTAAAGCCACCATGACAGTCAATCAAAACAGTAAGCAGTATCATGCATTGAATGCTATATACATTTTGCAATCAACAGCTCATCAAACTTATTTAGGTTCAACTCAGTAACCGTGCTTTCTTTTCACAAATGATGGACTGAGAAGCTCTTTTATTGCCAATGCTCTGAAAGAGTGATGAAAAGAACAAATGAATAACAGATTCAGAGAGCTACTTTTTTATTCTTCAGCAATATTAACTTGGCTTAGGTTTTGTTTGGGACGGCTTCTTATTGCTTCTTAAAGTAACTTTTTAATACAAAAATTAAAATTTTTTATACTTAAAAGCTGCTTTGAGAAGCAATAAGAACGCCGTCCCAAACGAAGTCTTAGTTACCTGCACGTGACCTTTATGCATTCTCTGTCCAGCAGACCAATCAAGGGTCCTCTATTTTGACCATCGACCATCTGTGACACAACAGGAAGCTGGTTCAACCCATGCAAATCCATGATCATTTCAGCATTACCGAGGGTCATGTTTGGTGATGCAGTCCATACACGGTACTTCTTCTCTTTAGTTTGGAAGATTTCAGATATCTGAATTTTGTCAACCTGTAAGACAAATGATGCATTTAGTACAGCTAGGTTGAAAAAAAAAGTATAAAATTTTGTTTGGGACATCTTTCTTATTGCTTCGCAAAATAGCTTTTTAGTATAAAACTTCAAAAATTTGTACTAAAAAATTGTTTTAAGAAACAGTATGATACAATCGGGCATGATACACCATTTTTTATGACCTAGGATGCTCCTCAGCCTTATAGTGAATTTGATAGACCCTCCTCTTATCCTTATCAAGGGCCCTTTTAGGACATCTTCAATTACCAGGTTCCAACAAACTTGCAATCATACCTCACCCAAGATCTCATTCCAAGAACCCCTCATACAGATGACATACTTGAGGATGAAATTGATGTGGAGGAGAATCACATGTTACGTCAAAGGACATGTCGACCACCACAACATTACACTCCAAGTAGTAATGCATTACCCCAGAGGCCACGTAGGCAACATTATTTGATGATGTGATGTACTTCATTATTCTTCTATTATGGATTATATAATTAAGTATGCTTTTATTATGAATCACTGTAAAAAATCATGTATTTCGTTATGCTTTTTTTATGTAGTTAACATTATCTTCTAAATTTTAATAAGATGCTCTAAAATGCATGATGGAATTGACCATTCCTTTTAGTCAAGATTATGTTAGGATTAGATATGTATAAGAAAGCATATAGAGGGAAGTTTTTAGACAATAAAAGCTAATTGCAGACGATCATTTTTAATTGGAGAATAGTGAGGTAATGCTCTTATAAATATCCGGCTAATATAGTTGTTGGAACGGAATGGTTGCCATCGAATATGGGACTGATCATCTATTGAAAGGATTAATTACTGCAAGTGCTGGAATTATTATTGAAACCAATCAACAATGTCTATTCCGGGAACGGCTCCTTACAGAAAGAACTCAAATTAATTTATGGATCATAAAATTATTGATTAGAGAAATCTTTCATTCAAATGGACATCATTTTTTTAGTTTGTGTTTCCTTTATTGTATATATGATTTTTTGTTGTTGTCTTCTCTATACAGCTTGTATAAGAACACACTTTGCTCTTAATTAGAATAAATTGAGATCAATAGAATTCTCTAATAATGCTATTAGATCCCTTGGATATGTATTTTTGGGTATCTTCTGCAGCCTTCATTGCTACAAGCTTCTCTCTAACTGCAACCTTCATCGCTGTTAGCTCTTCCATTCTTCGATTCTAGCTTCCACAACCATCATTGTTGTGTTTCTCCAGCAGTTGCAACCCCCTTATATTCTCCTTTTCTTCAACTGTGATCTTTCTAGCTAGCAACCGTAACCCTCCTAAATTCACCTCTACTCTAACCGTGTTCTTCCTAGCCAGCATTCGCAATCTTGTGATCTCTACAACAGCTGCAATCATCCAAACAGCCGCATCTACCATGTTACTGAGCCCTCATGTATAAGACGTAAAAGTCTACTCCACTCCAACTAGTTTCTAGGAGGTAATCTCTTAGAAATAATACCTCATTAACTATATGTGGATCTAAAAACATAAATGCCAAATGTAGATTCAATTGGAAAAACTACTTAAAGATCAGTTCAATTTTTTCTCCAAGGGATGGAAAACTGAATTAGCTGCTTGGGACCAATCCAAAGAAATGAGACGGAGGATTTGATGCTTACGATAAGAATGCATCATAATATCATAACTATATAAATCATTGACTCTAGAAATTGTTGACACATGTATGTTTTTATTAATATAATTGTAATATAAAAGTGTATATTAATATAATTGTAATATGAAATAGTGATCAAGAAAAAGAGTATTGAAACAATGTTTGATTAGAGAGATTCAGATAAAGCAAGTTGAAGTATTTCCTATAAATTCTACTATTTCACAACAACAGTATGCCAGTGATGAACTATAAGGAAACATAAAAGCTAACTTGTAAACCTGCACCCACATGAATTGGTCCGAATTATAAATTGAGAGAAAAAAATGAAGGCCTATTGTGAACAGAGATATATATGTACACGAGGTTAGTGGAAAAACTTATTTATCATACATATATAAGACAAAATATAGCTTATGTTCTGAATGTGGTAAGTCAAATTATGCACGATCCAAGAGAGGGTCACCTAAAGTTATATATCGAATTCTTCGCTCCTTAAAAGCTAATATATTAGAAGGGCAATTTTGTTTAAAAGAAATATAAAGTTAAAATTTGAAGTCTATACAAAAGCAGATTGTTAGACCGGTCCATTATTGGACCGGTTTGCAAACAGTTCCGCCTCCTGTACACACTGTTTGCACCGACCACGCCCAAGCGGAGCAATTTAGGAAGGATTTTTGAGGGATTTGGGAGGGAAATTTGAATGTAGGGACTGTTTAGAGATTTCCTATTGATTTGCATGCATTAAATACTTTGTTTTCCTAGGATTAGGGCATCTTGAATTTGGCTGAAATTTGAGATCTCTTAGATTTAGGTTTTCTTTTTGGCTCTAGCGGCGTCTAGAGATTTGGGAGAGATCGATCCTCCTCTCGAATAGAGGATCAATTGTATCTTAATATTTTCCATTTCCTTTTCATCATATAATACAAATTATCTACTGTTTTCTTGTTTTTGTGTGGATTTTGGTGGAGAATTCTCGTTGTTTTTCAAAGATTGATAGGAAATTGATGCGGATATCCAACCGACCATGCCTATCCGAGGAGCTGAAAATCGACGGCTGTCATCGTCCCACGTTATCTTATATTTTATTTGTAATTTTAATTTTTTTATTATAATTTTTTCATTTTTACCCTCACTTAAGAGGGTCGTCCAATGTAAGCCATAGGGGCATATGTGTCTTGTTTTAGTTTCTTAGGCCTATATATAGAGGCCCTTTCTTGTGTAATGAGATCATGAATTGTTAATGAAAGTTTATTTTACTTGTTTGATCTCTTAATGAGTTCATGAGAGGAGAATGATCTCTTTGTGAGTTCTGAGACTCCCAATATCTCTTTGTGAGTTCTTGAGGAAGTGGCGCTTGTAGATCTCTTTGTGAGTTATATTGGAGGTGTCGCTCGAGGTTAGTGGAAAGAGCAAGAGAGAACAAGGGAGAGAGCAAGAGAGAGAGAGATAGAGATAGAGAGAGTGAGTGTGTAGCTCAGGATTTTCTTTTTCCTAAAGCCAATTTATTTCTTCTCTACCTAACCAAAACTCTCTTCCTCCCAAATTCCCTTCCACCGGCCCGCATAAGTCCACCGCCGGCCACCCCAGGCCGATCCCGCCATCGGCGACTCTGCCAGCATCCCCAGCCGGCTGTCATCCAGCCGATCCAGGGGGCCGGCTCTAAGGCACCAACATTCCCGCCGGCCCCTGGGATCCTCCCTCTTGTTTGAATTTCAAATCTCTTAATTTACTCACTTTCCTAATTGGTCTCTCTCCAATTAAGAAAGTCAATTAAGAGGATCAAAGCCTATTTTAAAATTCAAATTTGTTTCACTCTCATATTAAACCTATTTGGGGGAAATTACTTAAAATATAATCAAATCTGAAATTAAAATTCAGATTTGATTGGGTTTTGTTTACTTAAATGTGGGCCCCACTTTTTAACTCCTAAGCTTTTCTTTTCCCCCCATATGGCCAGCCCCTTAATGGGCTTTCCTCTCTCCGCAAATTAAATTAAAAGCTCCACCAATTCAGCCCCAAATCCCTCCCCATTGCCGCCCCTCTCTCCACCACTCCATCATATTTGAAATTCAAATTTCGAATTTCAAATTCTTTCCATATATGGAATCCAAAATTAGGAAAGTTTCTTTCATGAATCCAATTTCAACATAAATCAGATTGGAGTTATTATTTTTCTTTCCCCAATCCCCTCCCTCATGCATGATGCCGCTGGCCCCCTTATTGGGCTTCCCCCATTGAATGCTCAATTACTCCTCCACCCTTATTTGAGATTCAAAATTGATTTCAAATATTCTCCCTCCAATTTCACTTGAGCTGAAATTAATTTCAGCTTTTATTCTCTCCCCCCCTAATCCCCTCCCTCATCATGCCGCCGGTCCCTAGGAGGTTCAAACATTAATTGCCCCCTTAATTGCCCATCCCCACTTGGTATTCAAAATTCAAATTCATTAAATCTCCCCTCAATTCTACAAAAATTGAAATTATTTTCAGTTTTTCCTAAATCCCTCAAACCCTAAGTGGATCTACCCGCCCCTCCCCTATTCCCCTCTCTCTCTCTCTCTACCCGAGCCCACCTCCTCCCCTCTTTGCCTGGCCGAGTTCCACCAAGAGAAGACTCTTCTACCGCCAAATTCATCCACACCGCAAGGTCATCTCATAGTCATGAATGGCCGATCCGGAAGTTGATCACGACATCGCATACACCGAACAAGGGGAAATCGACATCTTCCTTTCCCCCTTCTACGAGCCGGATTGGGAGTACGACGTCACCGTAGAACGTTATATCAATCGTATCGTTTACTGCCTTGCCGGAACCATTGAGCTTCAATGACCAAGGACTCTGTGGACTCTTCTCGGTCACCCACCAGCTACTCCAACTCCCGCTTCTTCCCCGACGACTAGTCCTTTCGGCATCACTTGTGTGATAGTGGCATCTCTATGTGTGCTTGTAATCATCCTCTGCTAGCCTCCACCTTCAAGAATTGAGTGAAGGAGCTCTAGTTTCACATCAGTTTGGTATCAGAGCAAGGTTACCTGGGGTGCGGACTCGACAGAGTCGAGCTCTTTTTCACCCCGAAAGAATGATGCAGACATCCAACCGTCCATGCCTATCCGAGGAGCTGAAGATCGACGGCTCTCATTGTCCCACGTTATCTTATATTTTATTTGTAATTTTAATTTTTTTATTATAAATTTTTTGTTTTTACCCTCACTTAAGAGGATAGCCCTATGTAAGCCATAGGGGCATATGTGTCTTGTTTTAGTTTCTCAGGCTTATATATAGAGGCCCTTTCTTGTGTAATGGGATCATGAATTGTTAATGAAATTTTATTTTACTTGT